TATCAACTCGGTTGAGAAAGAAAAAAAGGAAGTTAAAAATGTAATTGCACTATCAAAAACCTTTAAAAGACATAACCCTCTTCAATTACTATTTTATATAAAAGTGCTTATTTCTGTACATCTCAACAGGCAATAAAATAATAAACCGTTAGAATATCTTGCTTCATATCACTTTCCATTTTTCCTCTTTCCCTAGACAGCCTCCTCGCCCTCCCCCTTGGCTTTATTGATGTGATTACAATCTCTTAAATTTAAAAAAAATTTCCCCCACGGGCTAGTAGTTTATTTAGGACTCTCATTTTTTTTTTTTTTACACAAAAACTAAGTTTGCATAACTTAGCTTTCACTAGACTTGCCTAGATCCAGACTTCTCTTTCTAATTTTAAAGTTCCCTTTCATCTCTGAGGCAGGAGGTGACAGGCAGAGGCAACTGGAGAAGAGGATCCCTTCCACAGGGAGAAAAGGTCTTGGTTAGAAGGTGTGGGGAATGGGTTCATGGCATGGCAGAGGCATAAGAGGTAACAAAATCTGGTCTCTCACTCAGGTAAAGAACTGCTTCTGAGATACAGAACATTGATCCATGCCTTCTGTGAAGGTATAGGCTCCAGGTTGCCCCCAGTTCTGACAGATCTGCCCATTATGGAAGAGACCTTTCTTTACAAATAACACATTTTCTTATTTTGTATGTTGAGGACAAATGGGTGGTTGGTTAGTCAGCCTGAATCATATCTATTCCTCTCAGATGAAGTTCCTAAAACTTTTCTCTTCTTTACCTATACCTCAAATAATGTAAACTAATTTTAGAATCAGCTGGACATCTTGCCCTTTATACAAGAAAATTTTTTGTAAGATTGTAGTAATTCTCTTAGTAATTTGCCTCTGTGTTTTTATAGAGAAAAATAATTTTAGTTGAAAAAAGCCCTAGGAATAATTTTTTGAGCCCCAAATAGAGTTCATTGTGTCTTGCTGTATCAGAATCACTAAGAGTTTTGAAAATGTTTTTAAAATTATTAGCATGTTAAGGACTGAGTTCAATTCTCCGCACCTATATAATACTAAATACATACATAAGAAAAATGCATATCACTGGAGACTTTCCTGAAGATTATGATTTATTAAATTCCCAATGCTTTAAGAAATATTTAAATAAATGTTTATATTAATTTGCTGTGCCTTATGTACCATCAAGTAATTTTCATTTGCAGTTAGGTCTTCCTCAATATTCCTGACAAATAAAGAAACATATCAAAAATGAGAATGTACGATTCTCAAGACCATACAGAGCTGGAAGGTGGTGGCACATGCCTTTAATCCCAGCACTTGGGAGGCAGAGGCTGGAGGATCTCTGGGTTCATGTCCAGCCTGGTCTTCAGAATAGTTCCGGGGCAGCCAGAGTCACACAGAAGAAATCCTGTCTCGAAAAACAAAACAAGAGCATACACTCCCATGATGGTCAGCTTTGACTGAAAAACAGAGCCCTTGATAGGTTGGTCATTACTTTTCCATAATTTTGAGATGCTTCTCTGGTAGAATTTCTCCCAGATATCATACATAATGTTACATCAGACTTGCCCAAACACTGCCTGCCATGCACTAGTTATGTCTAGAAAATGTTCTGCCCAAAGACTTAGCCCTGTGTTGTCAACCTCGCCTCTATCAGACACAGCTAACCGAACTAGGAATCAAGAGTGGCAAATCCATAGACTCCCTACTGCTGAATGGGATTCAAACACCAAATAAAGCACTTTATATCTAACAAATAAAAATTATCTAATCAATAAATCCTTCACACCTCAGGGTTTCTTTTTTTTTTTTTTTTATTTATTTTCTGGGGGGGGGGGGGGGAGAGCACATACCATAGTATATGTATGAGGGTCGGAAATAACTTTTGGGTCAGTTCTTCCCTTAAACTGTACATTTTAGGTCTGCAGGTTTGGGGTCAAGCACCTTTACACTGCCCATCCCCAGCCATCTTACTGGCCCCATTGTCTGTGCTAAGTACTCAGTGTTTGCAATATATACATTTTCATGAACTCTGTAACCAAGAGTGAATATTTCTAATTTTAAACGTGAAATTAATACAACCTCGATTCCAATATAAAATATATCAAGTTTTGCCTTATTTAATATTATTGTTTTTGTCTCTCATTATTTTTTCTATTTTTTAATAATAATTATTTGTAATTACAATTTATTCACTTTGTATTCTGGCTGTGGCCCCCTCCTTCATCTCCTCCCAATCCTACCCTCTTTCCTTCTTCTCTCTTCATTCCCCTCCCCTTCTATTTGATCCTAACCTATCAGCTCTCATCAGGACTGGCTGCATTGTCTTCTTCTGTGGCCTGGCAAGGCTACAACCCCCAGGGGGAGGTGATCAGAGAGCCTGCCACTGAGTTCATGCCAGAGACAGCCCCTGCTCCCTTTACTATGGAACCCACTTGCACACTGAGTCTATGGGCTACGTCTGAGCAGGGGTTTTATGTCCTCTCCATGCGTTGTCCTTGGTGGGGGTATCAGTCTCTGTAGGTCCCCCAGGGCTCAGAATCTTTTTGTCTCTGTTGGTCACCTTTTGGAATGCCTATCTCCTCTAAGTCTTTCTATCTCCCCCTTCTTTCATAAAATTCAAAGCATTCTGCCCAAAGTTTGGCTATGAGTCTCAGCATCTGCTTCAATACCTTGATCAGTAGAGTCTTTCAGAGGCCATCTGTAGTAGGTTCCCGTCCTGTTCCCTGTCTTCTCCTGATTCTGAGGTGTATTGCATTTGCCCTTCTGAATGAGGATTGAGTATCTTCCCTAGGGTCTTCCTTGTGTCTCTCATTATTTTTATTTTATTAAAATACATCTAGTCAGGTTTGTGGCAGCATGTTTCCATCATCCTAGCACTTTGAACACTCAGACAGAAGGGCTGTATCTTTGTTTTGTGAGGGTTGAAGATTTGTGTGTATGATTGCTCTGCCTGTGTGCAAGTATGTGTGCCATATGCATGCCTAGTGTCCAAAGATGTCAAGAGGTCCTCAGCTTCCCTGGAACTGGACTAAAATCTGACCTTGTGATCCACTATTCTGCTGTGTTGTGTCTAAGTAAACCTTTATGAGCCAACTGCCATGCAGGTTCAGTGGATCCTTTTCCTCATAATTTCACTTGGGAAGAACAATTCCTCAACACTGCAGCATGCACAGAGGTCAGCATGTGGCTTCTGGGACACTTTGGCTTATTTTCTGTATGGTTTTATTGAGTTGGCTTAGGCATAATTCTCCTCTAAGCAATAAGGAGTCCTGAGTTCTTACTGAACTTTTCTTCAATGCACACACTAACTGGACTTGGATTTTCTAGAAACATTTCAGTTGAGGAACTGGAACAACATCTAGGAGTGTTTCCAGGTACTACCAAGCTCAGGCTCCTCCGCCACCTTGATTTTGAGCTCACATAGCTCTGCTAAAGGTCTGGCTTAGTCTGTAGCTCCATTAGCACCTGGGAGTTACCCAACTTGAGCTTCTGGCAGTTGAGTTTCATGATCTTCACACTTTAGATGACTGTAGCTTTGTGTTGGAGGAAAATGTTGCTGCAGCTAAACTAGAAATCCTGACCCACTCCACCTGAGCTATCAGCAAGGCCAGTCCAGGTAATCTGTTGCATCCTTAGTTGGGGCAGGGCCTGCTGCCCACAAGGGCCCCAGCTTTTTCCTAAAATGCAACAGGAAACTGTCAGTGGTCAACCTTAAGTATCAACTTGACTGGGCTGAAAGGTGCTGAGACCCACAAGTGATAGCACAGGCCTTTGATTCCCAGCAGTCTGGAGACAAGAGGCAAGTGGATCTCTAGAATTTGGAGGCCAGCCTGGTCTACATAGCAAGTTTTAGGACAGCCAAGGCTGCATAGAGACCCTGTCTAAAAAATCAACAAAAAGATAGCCAGATAGCTGGTAAGACATTATTTTGGGATGGGTCAGGGTGTTTCTGAAAGAGCTTGCATGTGTTTGATAAATCAAAGAAAGGTCACATCAGTAATGTGGATAGGCATCATCCACTCCCTCCTTTGAGGGTGGATATGAGAAAAGGGCAAAGGCAGTTTTCTCACCTACAGCCAGTTATTGAAGCAATCCTGCCGTGGGGGTGTTGAGAACTTAACACAGAAATTCATGAAAATTTTGCTTAAATTTTTAAATTTTTAAAAAATTGCTTAAATTAAGAACTAAAAAGATTTGTGTTCCAATAGTTTTTTTTTTTTTTTTTTTTTTTTTTTTTTTTAAAGTGGCCCTATGAGGATCTGGAGAAATGGCACAGCCATTAAGAGCTCTGGCTACTCTTGCAAGGGACCTGGGGTTGGATTCCCACCATCCACATGGCAGCTCACAACCATCTGTAACTCCAGTTCCAGTGGATCGGATGCCTCTTCTGGCCTCTATAGGCACCAGGCATGTAAATGGTGCACAAATCTACATAAGGGCAAAACACCCATCCATATAAAAACTCTTACAAATTAAAAAGTGGACCTATAAAACAAATGTTTCATACTTCCTTTACAAAAATAAAAAAAAAAGGTCAATTAAAAATGGGTTACTTTGTGGTATATCAAAGCATCTTTTCTCCTAGCCAACTACTTTGCATTTTCTGCCTTTCAACTCAAACAGACTTGTGGGTAAAATTCGAATTGTATTATTATTATTATTTCTAATTAAAGCAAGCTAGGATATTAAGACTTTCTAAGAGCCTCGGACATGGGGTACGCAGCCAAGAGACTGTGTTTAAGTCAAGGTCAGAGGCTGCCATTAGTCAAGCAAGGCCTGGAATTAATGACAAGACTTCCCCAAAGCAGGGGACAGGTTGGGACATGGTTCTTTTCAACGTCAGGTTACTGGAAGTAGGCGAGCACAGGCCCGGGAGCGAAGGCCACTTCAGCCCAGCCTCCCTGCCGAGTTAACCCGCATCCCTGTCGCTCTCGCGTTACTACCGCCCTCACTGTTCCGGCTTCCCGGCCGGCTCCACCGCGGCCTCTCTGTCGTCACTTCCTGTGGGTCTGCAACGCCGGAGAGAAGATGGCGGCGCTGGGAGAACCTGTCCGGCTGGAGAGGGGTGAGTGCTGCGGGTCTCGCGGCCGCGGGGCCGTGGAGCGGAGCGGGACCGACGCACCACTCTGCCCGCCGGCCGGAGCGGAGGGGAGGCGGCCGGGACGCCGGTCCCGGGAGCCCGTCCTCGGCCGGAGCGGGGCTGGCGGGAGGCGCTGGTGGCGTTCGAACGCTCGCCAGCCCCCTGGGTTCACGCCGACCGTGGGCGTAGCCGGGTTCCGAGGACCTGCCCGCGGCCGCAGGCACAGGCGCTCCCCGGGTGTGCCCTGCAGGAGCGGCTTTCAGCTTCCTCGCTGTTCCGGACCGCCCGCCGTCCTTGCCCCCGTGCCCTCCTGGCGGACACCGGCGCACTCCCGCAGAAACGCCCCTCGCCCCCAGCTAAGCTCAGACCCTGTCATTACTCCCACCACAACCTCCTGGACTTTTGAGTTGGTAATTTCCTAGCTTTTGCACCCCTTCCAGCCACAGAGAGGATGCAAAAAAAAAAAGAAAGAAAGAAAGAAATCCAACCGACTTGCTCTTGAGAAGGAGATTACGTAACTAGGTGGAGTAGTGGTGGATTGTAAATCACTTTTAAGTGCCGCGCTGTTCTTTACTTGTAAGCCCTCCGGTTGGAAACCGGTTGGTTGATGGCTTCTTAGAGCAAACAGTCATGAGAAGGAAACCTGTTCAGAAGCCTGTGAAAATACTTTTACCGAGGCAGTAGCAGATTTCCAGTGTTGAACTCTGCCCTGCTCAAATCGTTAAATTTCAGACAACCAGAGCAAGCTTTTTACAGTTGGAAGTCAGAGTAGTCAGGAAGTATGAGTTAAGCATTGTAAGTACTCTTGGCAAACAGCGTGGAACAGAGTTTGACATTACTTTGCAAATACTAGTATTAACAGTTAGTCTCAGTATTAATATTGTCCAAGAAGGAAATAATTTTGAAGTTGATGTGCTTAAGAAGAACCTCTTTCATCGTGCCTCTCACACTGTGCTCTTCGATGATTAGTTTTGCCTTTTATTGTAGTCACCATGTAGAAGTATTTTTTTTTAAAAAATAACTGAGCTTGTTTCTCTCCATCCTACTATGGTTTTAATTAAAACGTTTTATGACAGAGGGTAGCTTAGGAAAAACTAATGTAGGCTTATAGCTGTGTCATTTTCTTCTTGAGCACTATAGTGTCGATGTGCTTTGTAAATAGGAACAAATTTGTTGGTCATAACATGAATAGTTGCAGGTTTCTAACAAGATGGCGTTCTTTTGTATTTTTAAATGAAGCACAAAATGTGTACCTTTATCCTCTTGACATTTGCTTTTTGCTGTTACAGAGTTTTCAGTTATACAGGAGAAAGCTGAAGTATTGGTAGGAATGAAGTACTACTTGGTTGTTGCCAGTTAGCAAGATAAGCAAGTTGGATGACATCGCATTTGATTGTGATTGAAAATTCAGGTGGACCTAACATACTCTCAGCAGTTCCATACTGCAGTTCCATGGTAGAATATCGGTACATATGACCAGGTTCCTCTTCAGCTTCTAGATCATCAAAGCATAATTCACCGGAGCACAAACTTAAGTTAGCATATGTTTGGTACAGTTTAGGTTTTAACTTGTTTCCAAGCGTTGATTAGCTGGACTCCCTTCTCTTTACCCTCTCTTTTTCTCCTCATCCCCGGCCCTTCTTTCCATCATGTTGCGAATCAAATTGAGGGACCTTTGTACATTGTAGGCAAGCACTCTACCACTGAGCTATGTTCCCAGCCCTTTATGTAGGATTTTGTTTTTCTTTTTTCTTTGTTTTTTCGAGACAGGGTTTCTCTGTGTAGCCTTGGCTGTCCTGGACTCACTTTGGAACATACATATAATATCACTCTGGGCTCACAGAGATCCACCTGCCTCTGCCTCCTCCCCAAGTGCTGGCATCACAGGTGTGCACCACCACACCCAGTTTTATGTAGGATTTTAAAGTGGATAATATATTGTGACTTTGTAAATCAACAACTGGTGAATCAACACTAGCATTCTGGTGGTGGGAAATGAGAGAGAAGGTAGTCTGCTTGATTAACAGCAGTTTAAACTTTTATTGTCTAAAACCTAATCAGCTTTTTGCTTCTCTACTACATTTATCTAGACTTTTTTTTTTTTTTTATCTGCAAATGCAAAGAAAAGTCCTAACTAATTCTGTGAGATAACTATCAGGTTCTTTAGTATAGCATGAAATGAAAACTTCCTTCACTCAAGTCAAAAATGTACACGGGTTAGAATATATGATAGTACATTTTCTAGACATTGGAGGTAAATGAACACAATTAAAATTTACCGAAATTTCTATTGATTAGCCGTAGTAATGTATTGAGGCTTGGGTTCAGAAAAACCTTAGGGAAAAAAATCAGAACAGAAGTCATGATTAATAGTTGTTATAACATGAATCTGAGTTTTCTAAAGTTCTTTGTTCATAAAACATTTTATACATTTCCCAGTGACAATTACCTAATATGCTAAGTGTGTGTGTACAATTCTTTGATATTTCTTTTCTTTTTAAGTTCTTGGTGTTGGGCGCGAGTGCTGCTCTCAGACCCTATTACTGCACTTTTAGGTAATCGTGAGATGCCCAAGTGGGTGCTAGGAATCAGGGCGTGCTCCTAACTGCCGAAGCATCTCTTTAGCCCCTAATGCCATACATAATATCTCTTAAGATACTATGTACCAATGTGACATAACATCTGTGCTTCTGGGTCTTTTTATTTCCTTTTCTTTTTCGCGTACGAGGAAGTACTACTATTGCTGTTTTACAGTAAAAGACTACAAATCAGGCTAGGAAACTTACCCAAGGTTACCCACAACCACAGGCATTAAAACCAGATTGATAAAGCTATTTTCTCTTCCTGATTTGTAAACCATTTCTAAACGTGTGTATTAAAACAGTATTAGCAATCCTCTCAGCTAATTGTATGTCCATGTGTTAATTGAACAGTTTGTATGTACATAATGTAACGTTTTCCTTCAGGAAGTGAACAGTGATGTCACTAGCACTAGCCTCCTGTATTTTTTGTCTGGTTCAGTTACAAATAAGATGATTGGGTAAAATTTTTATTGTCTAAATAATTTTTTAAAGATTTGTGTACTTACTGTGAATACAATGTTCTGTCTGCATGTACAGCTGCACCCAAGAAGAAGGCACCAGATCTCACTATAGATGGTTGTGAGCTATCGTGTGGTTGCTGGGAATTGAACTCAGGACTTCTGGAAGTGCAGACAGTGCTCTCAACCTCTGAGCCTTCTCTCCAGCCCGACTAAATAATTCTTGACTGTTAGCTTTTCTGATCTAATCTATCCTTCTACTCTATGTTGTTCATCTCTGAAGAATTGGAGGCTTTTGGTTGTTCTGCTTGTTTTGGAGATTGTGTGAAGCGTACCTTTAGCAGGTGTGAGCATTTTGGCTCAGCCTCTGTAGGGAAGACATTCACATCAGGTCCCGCACCTGGCTGGCATGTGGATTAATGTCAGCTTCTACAAAGCTCTAAAGGAATGAGGAGAATCCTCAGCAGGAATTGTTTTGTTTCCCTGTAGATATCTGCAGAGCAATTGAATTGTTGGAGAAACTACAGAGGAGCGGAGAGGTACCACCACAGAAACTTCAGGCTTTGCAAAGAGTCCTTCAAAGTGAGTTCTGCAATGCTGTGAGAGAGGTGAGTTAATATCATCAATAGTTCCTCGAATTTTGAGTTAATTAACCACAGAAATATACTGAAATTTGGACTCAGAACTGACTTAGAAAATAAAATAGCCCTGGACATGGTGACTCAATGTCTGTAGGCCCAGCACTCAAAAGGGTGAGACAAGAGAATTTCTATGAGTTACATGCCAGGCTGGGCTACATAGTATGTTATAGACCAGCCTGCCTGAAATAAGAGATGTGAGGCAAGGAAGAAAAGGAAGAAGACAGAGCTGGTATCTTCTCTCTCTCTCTCTCTCTCTCTCTCTCTCTCTCTCTCTTTAACTTTTAGTTAGGGGTATAGCTCAGTGGTAAAATGGTTGCCTAGCATGTACAAAATCCTAGGTTCAGCCACCAAAAACAGAAAAAGAATTTGCTTTGAAATTCCTAATAGAAAAGCATTTACATCTTATGAAGATGCATATTTGCCTTTTAGAAGTTTTAATATACTTGTTAACTTTGCAGATAACTCAAAATATATTTTAAAATTTAAATATGAAGTATGATGAAAACTTTGTGTTTTGCAGGTATATGAGCATGTTTATGAGACTGTGGACATCAGTAGTAGCCCTGAAGTGAGAGCTAATGCAACTGCAAAGGTAAAGGTTTTTGTTTATCAAAAGAGGGAACCCCAAAACTAGATCTAGAATGGGGCTCGGGAAATAGCTTAATGGGGAAACTGCTTGCTCTGCAAGCATGAAGACCTGTGTACAGATCCGCAAGTCCCAAGTAAAGGCTGTTCATGGTGTGTCTGTAACCCCCATGGTAGAGGAGTGAAGATGTGGATGGTCGTGTGTGTGTGTGTGTGTGTGTGTGTGTTCGTGTACAATACAGAAGTCATAAAGATTTGACATGCAGTTACTAGATTCATTGTAAGCTCTGAAAACTAGGATATCTTTGAAACTACACTACTAAGAATAGTAATGTTTCATTGGGCTTATGTAAGATGTTTTGTGATACTATTTAGATCATACATTGAAAATACACTAGTATGTATATCATGCCTCATAGAATTGTATTCAGTGAGCTATAGAGACTGGTAACATTGATTTCATGATCGAAGAGGGTGACTTTGTTGTTGACGAGGAAACACCGAAGTTACACTACTTTCCTTGTACCACACTGCACTAAGTGAATAGTAATCCTAGGGACCCTAGGGAATGCTCTCAAGTTACTCTTGGATTTTCCCTTGACTTTGGCCCTGCACATATTGGACAGGGTTGGTCCTAGGCTACCTCCTCAAGGCCATAGATGGCATGTTCGTGTGTTTTTTGGGGTTTTTGTTTGTTTGTTTTTGGTACCAATGTAGTTTTTCTAAAATAACTGAAACATTTGAGTTAGATGTGTATCATTTGTGCTTAGCATACTTTAACATATACTGCAAGCACTTAGTAGCAAAGCATGCTATTTCTTATTGCTAGATACTGGTTCACAAAGGGAAGTATTAGTACAAATACTTAAATGTGTAGGTTTCCTTTGTCACAGTCGCTAAATCCCTAGAAACTTGGGATTTGGTGAGGTGTGTGGGTATACCTCAGTTCATAGAGTGCTTGCCTAGCCATGTATAAGGCTTTGAATTCCATGCATCCCTAGCACTACATAAAACCGAGTGTGGTGGCATATGCCTATAATCCCATCATTTGGGATGTAGAGGCAGGAAGAGCAGAAATTTAAGGTTATTCTAAGCTCTGTAACATGTTTGTTGCCAGCCTGGGCTAAATGAGACCCTGTCTCAGAAAGGAAAACACTTTTTGCAAGTTTTGGCAGCATGCTTGCAACCCCAGCACTTGAAGCTGAGGCATGAAGGTGAAGAGTTTGAATCTGGCCTGTGCTATGCTTGCATTCCCCCCATCCCACCCCTGAAAAATAAATTATGTTATCTCTGATCTGTGTGATTCCCAGAGTTTGCAAAGCTTGTGAGCCTTAGCTCTGTTTGTAAAATGGGCTCATTTTTAGTGCTTCAGAGATAGTGGTTGGTGTTTGGTAAGTCTCAACATCATTCTCCTCCCTTTTCTTTTTGTTTTTCTATAAGTATCCGTAATAAAAATGGTACCTTTAAACGCAAAAGGAAACAATGTAACCCTGTGTTAGAATATAATTAGCTTACTTTCTACATAATTGATCTCCGAGTATTGTTTTCAGTTATCTCCTATAAACTTGTTTGACTTACAGACACAATGAAGTTGTAGAAGATCACACTGAAAGCCGTGTTCCTCAAAGTGCCTTTTGTAGGCTAGGGATGTAGAGCAATGTGCATGCTTAGCATATCTGAGTCTCTGGAGTCAAACCCAGCACCTCAAAAGCAAGTTGTGTTCTTAGGTGTGTGCATTTTTTTCTTTCAGGCCACTGTTGCTGCATTTGCTGCCAGTGAAGGGCACTCTCATCCCCGAGTTGTTGAGCTCCCCAAAACAGAAGAGGGCCTTGGATTTAATATCATGGGAGGCAAAGAACAAAACTCACCAATTTATATTTCACGGATAATTCCAGGTGGAATTGCTGACCGACATGGGGGCCTCAAACGAGGAGATCAGCTACTTTCTGTTAATGGAGTGGTAAGGGTACCTTGTATTTCTATTTGTTATTTGCAGTAATGTGTGGTAGCCACTTGGGGGTGCACTGGAGCAATCAATCAGTAGCTGGAAGGGGAAAACTGGTTTTTAAAATCCTTTGAGAGAAGCCCAGGTGTTACTGCTTGGTATGGTGTTGTGTCGTTGCTTTGATTTGGCGATGATAGTGGAGGTTATTGTAGAACTGAAGTCCAAACTCAGAACCTGCGCATACTAGGCAGGTGCTTCTTCATGTGCTTCCAGTGTGGCTCTGGCATACCGCAGTGTAGGTCAGCAGTGCTCTGAGTTTTGAGAGCTGTGTATTAACTCAGAAATAGACCCTCTTTTTGCTGGTGTAGACCTGGTGCAATAGTAAGGCATGAATACGGATATGTTTGTTCTTAGCGTACACAAATGTGTCTCATAGGATCTCACATTGATTAAAGTGGGAGAGAAAGGTTATTTTTATAGCGCTGAAGTGATGTAACATTTTTACTTAATTTTGTACTAAATATTTTTACAGATAAGGTTACTTGTAACCTCAGTATTAATTGTTTTTTGTATGTGTGGGTTTTTTTCAGAGTGTTGAAGGAGAGCACCACGAAAAAGCTGTAGAGCTACTGAAAGCAGCCCAAGGGAAGGTTAAATTAGTCGTACGGTACACACCAAAAGTGTTGGAAGAAATGGAGTCACGCTTTGAAAAAATGAGATCAGCAAAACGCAGACAACAGACCTAATCACTTAAAAAACTTATGTTCCTTTTTGCTTTTAGCTAAAAAGGTTTTACTTGTGACCTACTGATGGCCTCAGTGCCAATGATTGTAAAACACCAGAAACTTCCGTGAAATCTTCTTGCCATTTTATAAATGCCTATTTTAGCATCACTATGGTTGTAGAGAAGCATACACTTTTTTTCTCACGAGAAAAAGTAAAAGGTGATGAGGGCAGTTCTGTCCTGCTGTTTTTACAGGCCTTTTTCAAATGCAGATTTTGTCACAAAGTTGTTATAGATTTTTAAAAAATGCTTTTTTAATATTAAAATGTACTTTTACATTCTTAATCTTTTTTTAAAAAGAAATTTTCTTCATTTGGCCACTTATTTACAAATAACAGATCTCCAATGTTTCCTTTTGCTTACTGCAATTTCTTTGTGAAATTTCTTCTTAGTTTTCCAAGAAACTAAACCTAACGGTCTTGCCTGCAGCAGTTTATCACACTGTGAGTGCTGGCATCTCTGCTGCATTTTATACTTGGAACATACATATAATATCTGTAATCAGTGGTAAATCATAACTATCGTGGAACCTTTCGTTTTTATTTAAACAATGTATAATGTATTCATTTATACTGATTTGTAAAAGTAAGTTTTTAAACACTGAAGCAATCATTGCTAAAATACGTATTTCATAATATTTAAGCAGTGAGGCGAGAGGATGTAATTTGATTATTAGCATTACTGATTAAATTCCTTATTTATATTTAACAGTATGTTATAAATTATACATACAAAAAAGCTCAGATTTCAACTTTTCAAATTTTTTTATGCTATTCATTTGTATTTAAATACATTTCTCATATTTTGGTTCTTTCATGCCGAGGGATGAGTCAGTCAGTTTGTGCTGGGGAAAATGGAAACAAGAGAAAGTGATGGCTTCAGCCTCTGAAGCCTGGGTAGCCGCACATTCTTACTATCCCAGTGTCGGTACCCACTCTAGATACGAAGGGAGCATTGAAGATCCAGCAACAGGCAGTTTCTTAAGCCTCACAATGAGTAGGGCTCAGAATGCTCCATGTCTTCATGATTCGAATAGTGGAGGGAATTTGAAACAATACTTTTTACCATTTGTCCACTGGGTGTCACCATTTTACTGAAAGGCAGCTATCGATGTGCAATTGTGACTGGTCCTGTACAAGCTGAAATCAAAGTTGATTCATTTTCAGTCACAGATTATAGGAACATTTGTAAGGGGTTAAGTGATGATGTTGAAAAATGTAGGAATTTGTCATAATTACGACTTACTTTTTTTTTTAAATGGGCATTTTGTAACATTCCTTCAGGAAGAATGGAAATGTGTACGTTTTTCTGCATGTTTGTGAGCACTGTGAGTCTTACAAGATTACTGCAGTTTTCATTGATTTTTCAGAGTAAAAGTCAATCAGCATTGTTATTTATCATTTAGGAATTGAACACTGGATTGTGCATGGCTGAATGTCTTTAGTCCACTACAAAATGTGCTTGATATTGATAGGATCATGTTGAATTGTATATTTTCAAAATTAGCTGATGTGTTTTTAAAATGTTGAGACCAAAGTAGATTAGAAGAGTATGACATATTTTAATTTAATTGTAAAATTATTAGAGGTGTTTGTTTTAAAACTCTATATAAAGAAAGGTCTGGGTACATAGAGAACAGTAATACTATTGTTGTGCTAGTATGCCTGCATCACAGGGCACGTAAACCCTGGGGAAACCTTGTCTTAGCATTGCTACTCCAGCTGCAGTTGCTCCTGAGGACGCATCGGCGTTCCATTATAGTTACAGCTTCCTGGTTTGTGTGTCAGCTGTTGCAGAATCTCAGCTAAGTCACTTATTTTTCTTGTTAAGTACTTTGAATAAGCTCTTTTTCTGCTACAGTAATTCACAGTATGTTCTTTGTGTGGGCTGACACCTATTTCTAATTCTTAAAGTAAAAATAACTTAAAGGAGCCAAATACATAGCTTTGCTTAGTACTGTGGTGCATGAGCAGCACTAGTTTGCGTTCGTTGATGCGATTCTCGTAGCTCAGAATTTTAAATACTGACCTTAGGAAAATTCAGTCCAAGTGTACAGTCATCTTTGTGTACTAAGGAAGTGAAGGGATTTTAATCTAATAAACGGATGGTTTGGGAATAAAACGAGGCAGTAAATATAAAAGAGGCTGTTTGTTTGATTTGTAACTTACAAATGAAAATTTCCCTTAACCCCACTTTTCCATTTATTTTCTTAAACATTTCATAATGAGTTGAGTTGGTGATTCACAACCTTAGCTGCGTGTTAGAATGCCCTGCAGATCTTCTTAAAATACCTAGGTCCCTTCCCATAACAGTTAATTCAAAATTATCTATTGATTGACAATTTCATGTGGCAAAGTTGTCTTTAGAAGCTCCTGCCTAGTTCTGATGGACACCCAGGTTTGAGAAGCGCTAGCTCATAGACTTTCCAATTATACTGGACTCTGGAATTACATTTAAAATGAAGCTACTTAAAGATTGATTGTATATCTTAGTACTTCTTGATGAACTTCAAAGGTATTTGGCATTCCTTATTAACAAAATAATTACGATTACCTTTATTTTCTTTTTTTAAGATAAAACTTACCAGTAACGCATTTGTAAAATTTTAGTGGTTTCTCTTTCTGCCCCCTTTCCCTTTAGATTCTTTTAAAGGTTCTTACTTGGAAGAGCATGTCAAATATTGCAGATGTGAAAGCACTGTGAGGAATGATTCTGAGCCGTCTACATACGGCCCCTTACCTGTCTGTCACTGCACTACTGCATTGATGTAGCCTTGCCCTTTAGGATTTGATGCTTCACTTCTTAAGATCAACTTTAAGGTATTTTGCTCAAGTACTTTGTTTACAATTAAAATGAATAGGATTTAATAGAAGATACAGTTATGGCTTACCTGGAAAGCGTTGTCAGCATGACTTGGTATAGACTTAAAATTATAATGTGATTATAATGTGGAATGATTATAGATATATAAGGACTATAGTAATTGTATTCCTGAATAAATGTCTGTTTGTGCATTTTCTAACTTACAGTTCATTGTGTCTTCTGGCAACAATCTCATTTTGTAGTTTTTATTCTCCAAAATTTATGAGTAATGTTTCTTCAAAGGTTGTTGAAGTAATAATAGTTACATAATGGGGGAAATCACTTGATTATTAGTTTTCAAGGCATTTAAAACTAATTTGTAATTGGACGTGGTTTTTAAAAATACTGGCAAAGATTTGATACACTTGTACTCTTAATTTGAGAAAATAATTTGGAATGTGATACAGTGCTTTTTTCAATAGATGAATCACTTAGCAATTAAATTCTGATTCTAAGGCTTATTTGAATATATTTGTATGAGTCGTGCTTGTCCTTTGCATTTGACACAACTGATACAACTACAAATAGATGTATTTCCGAACACTCTGTATAAAATAACCTTGACATAAAGTAAAAGCGAAATCCATGGTTGTTCCAGAAATGAAGCTTCAGATTCCTGTATTTTGTTTGCCTTTCATAAAATATAGCTAAGCAAAAGTTTCTCTTCTTTTATTTCAAGAGGTGGTGTGACGTGATTGGCTGGCACAGAGTGATACCCACTACTCTCTACTCTCTTTACATCCTGTATTACCATCCTTTCCGTGAACCTTAGGCAGGTATTTCTCTTTTAGAATGCCCTGCAGAGCTTTTTCTCATATGTCATCTACAGTCAGTGTGCCTGTGCTGTCGCCTAGTCTGTAAAAAAAGCTCTTTGAAGGCTGCCTCCAAGTACTGGCTGTGCAGGCCTCACATACTGACTCTAGGATCCTATTAGCAAAAGGAAGTGCCTGGCGCAACAAGATGGCTCAGCAAGTAAAGATAAATGCCAGGGAAAGAACCACTCTTGCAAGTTGTACTATGACCTGTATGTTTGGGCAGTATACGTGCAAAGTGAAGCTTTTTAAGTAAATTGCCAGATTTACTTAAAAGTGCCATTTTGAGGGGTGAGACCATACTTGGAATGAAAATTGTTGGAAAATAAGTTGTTCTAGTACTTAAGTGAGAAGCAGCTTGTGAGGAGCATGTCCTGCCTCTAGATTTGTAGACAGTGGATTGCATGGGTAGTAAAAACACGGGCTGAGGCTATTGCTCAGAGGCAGAGTGCCTCCGCGTCATAATGAGGCCCTGGATTTGATCCCTAGAAACTCGCTTCTGCACACCCCTTACCCCAGTTGTCTTGGGGGAAAAAAAAATGAGTCAGCCCAGGATGCAACAAAAGCATCTGTGAAGACTTTGAGGAAGATGTAATATGAAAATTATATTTCTGGCTTTTTTTTTTTTAACATTCTGAAAGCCTGCAGGTTAGATGTGACTTCTCCTTTAACTCTGTTGCAATGCAATGTTAGATCCCTTCCAAAAAAAAAAAAAAAAAAGTTGTGGAATTCTAATCCTTGACCATACATGTAGGGAGGTCTTTTCAAAAGTAATCAAGCTAAGATGGGGTAATTCACGGTGGCCCAAATCCCTGACAGGGACATTTGAACCCAGAGGCAGGGATGGGGAACTTGTGCATGTTGCAAAAGGTGGAAGTTTGCCAACAGAGGTGAGGTCGGTGGTCAGCAAGCCCTCTTGGACTTAATTCATCCAACTAGTTCATAGTAGTTTGTCCAGCAACACTTGAATTCATAAGAGAATCCACACTGATGGCATCATTACCAGAACCCACCCAGCACTGAGCCAGAATCCAGTGTGGCTTCGTGTGCAATAAGAGCTAGGGGCTTGAGAAAGCACCAGATTGATTTCCAAAGTAGTAGTACAAGTTTATGTTCCCACCAGCAGTGGAGGAGGGTTCCCCTTTCTCCACATCCTTCCCAGCATGTGTGGTCACTTGAGTTTTTGATCTTAGCCATTCTCATGGGTATAAGGTGAAATCTCAGGGTTGTTTTGATTTGCATTTCCCTGATGACTAAGGACGTTGAACGTGTCTTTAAGTGTTTCACTGCCATTTGATAGCTCTGTACCCCATTTTTAAATTGGATTACTTGATTTGTTGCTGTTTAACTTCTTGAGTTCTTTATATATTCTGGATATGATCCCTCTGTCAGATAAAAGGTTCCCAGTCTGTAGGCAGTCGTTTTGTTCTGATGACAGTGTCTTTTGCTTTACAGAAGCTTTTCAGTTTCATGAGGTCCCATTTATTGATTGTTGCTCTTATAGCCTATGCTGTTGGTGTTCTGTTCAGGAAGTTGTCTCCTGTGCCAATGAGTTCCAGGTTCTTCCCCTCTTTTTCTTCTAACAGGTATAGTGTGTCTGGTTTTATATTGAGGTCTTTGATCCACTTGAACTTTAGTTTTGTGCAGGGTGATAAGTATGGATCTATTTGCATTTTTCTATATGTAGACATCAAACCAGAACCATTTGTTGAAGATGCTATCTTTTTTCCATTGTATGGTTTTGGCATCTTTGTCAAAAATCAGGTGTCCATAAGTGTGTGTGTTTATTTCTGGGTCTTCTGTTTATTTCCATTGATCCACCAGCCAGTTTCTATGCCAGTACTATGCAGTTTTTACAACTGTTGCTCTGTAGTACAGCTTGAGATCAGGGATAGAGAATCAGGGATAGAGATACCTCCAGAAAATCTTTTATTGTAGAGGATTGTTTTAGCGATTCTGGGTTTGTTATTCCATATGAAGTTGAGAATTTTTCAAGGTCTGTAAAGAATTGTGTTGGTAATTTGATGGCAATTGCATTGAATCTGTAGATTGCTTTTGGTAAGATGGCCATGTTTACGATGTTAATCCTGCCAAGCTGTGAGCTTGGGAGAGCTTTCCATCCTCTGATATCATCTTCTATTTCTTTCTTCAGAGACTGGAATTAGAAACAGTGCTACCTCCAGATCCAGCTATACCACTCCCAGGCATATATCCAAAATATGCTCAAGTATACAACAAGGACATTTGCTCAACCTTGTTTGTAGCAGCTTTAGTCATAATAGCCAGAAGCTAGAAACAACCCAGATGTCCCTCAGTTGAGGAAAGGATACAGAAATTGTGGTACATTTACACAACGGGATATTACTCACCAATCAAAAACAAGGAAATCATTTCCATGCAAATGGTGAGAACTAGTAAAGATCATCCTGATTGAGGTATCCCAGAAGCAGAAAGACACATGGTATATATTCACTTATAAGTGGATATTAGACATATAGGATAAACATACTTTAATCTGTACACCTAAAGAAGCTAAGCAAGAAGGAGTACCCTGGGTAAGATGCTCAGTCATCATTCAGAAAGGCAAACAAGATGGACATCGGAAGAGGGAGAAAACAGTGAACCAGGACAGCAGCCTCCCACAGAGGGCCTCTGAAAGATTCTACATAGCAGGGTATGAAAGTAGAAGCTGAGACTCATAGCCAAACTTTGGGCAGAGTACAGGGAATCTTATGAAAGAGGGGGGAGATAAAAAGACCGGGAGGGGACAGGAGCTCCACAAGGAGGGGGAAAAATATCTGGCTACAAGGATACTCCAACCAAGGACCATTCATGGAGATGACCTAGAACCCCTGCACAGTTGCCCATGGCAACTCAGTCTCCAAGTGGGTTCCCTCGTAATGGGAACAGGGACTGTCTCTGACATGAACTCGGTGGCTGGCTCTTTGATCACCCCCCCCCCCCATGGGGGAGCAGCCTTACCAGGCCACAGAGGAAGACAATACAGCCAGTTCTGAGGTGACCTGTTAGACTAGGATCAGATGGAAGGGGAAGAGGACCTCCCCATCAGTCGACTCGGGGGAGGGGCATGGGTGGAGAAAAGGGAGGGAGGGTGAGATTGGGAGGTTACAAGGGAGGGGACTACAGTTGGGATGCAAAGTGAATAAACTATAATTAATAAAAATAAATAAATAAAATTAACCAAAAAAAAAAAAAAAAGCTAGGGGCTTGCTGGTTCTTGTTTTCAGTGGTGGATATGCCTTCTCCGACAGTTGCAGCTGGGTAATGGAGCTTGATTTCAAGTGGCTGCCTGGGCTCCTCAATTCTGCAGAGCACAGCTTTCCTTATTTCAGTCTGTCACCAGCATGGCTTAATCTTTCTCAGTAATGGCTAGGGTTACCATTGTCTTTAGTTTGAGAGACAGTTCCTACATCTCCAGAAGCACATTCGCTAGTTGGAATGATGAGTTGTCTTTGGCCAGAGGTAGTTCGTTTATGCAGGCCCCTGAGATCCATCTGCCTGATAAAAAAAGCCTCCATTCAACCAGAACCGTATTGCAGCTTCCTTAAGTCTCCCTTTAGCTGAGAGCAGAACCTAAGAGACTCTGCACAATCCATTCTCCAGTTCCTCGCAGGTCTGCAGTTTCTGCAACTTACTGGTGCCCCCCACACCACATTTTGGGCTGGGTGGTTTGTTTTGAAGTACGGTCTCCCAGCCTAGGCTGACCTTAGGTTCATAGCAAGGGATTACCGCATGAGTCACCATGCCTGGTGAGAGTTCACATTTCTGTTAAAGGATAGGCGGGCCTGTATATACTTTAAGCTTGAGGAGGAAATGGACTTCAAAATTAGTTAGGTTTCTGTGGACCAGAGCCCATGGAGGGTTCCCATCAGACAGGGATAAGGGCCTGTTTTTCCCAGACTTAACAGTCAGATCCTCATTCTAGGGAGTGCTCCATGCAGAAAAACACTGAAGTGACAAGTAAGGTAGAATTCAAATCCAGCAGCTAGGTAATCGAACACAGAAATGGTCTTGTTTGTTTGTTTGTTTGTTTTAGTAAAAAGAACATCTGAGGACAAAAGAGACATTTTTCTTTCTGCAGAGTTCATTGCACCTTGCACAGATACCCTAGCACTGAGCTGAGTCCCCAGTAAAATATGTTTTCAAGCTTTTATTACAGATCATGGTAGACATGGAACTTTCAAATGCAATGATTATTTCATAGTATGAATATCTCCTTTGAATCCAATGAGGATACGGAGGCAGTGAGATACCTTTTGTTTTTCTGGTTAGTTGCTTTTTGTTTGAGAAATGGAGATCTTAGGTAGACTCTCAAGGGCTGGGAGTAGAACTTACACGTGTGTAATTTTGAATGCACTTGAAAATATAGACATTTACAGGGCAGGGCAGGGGAGAGCTGTTACTTTTTTTTTTTTTTTTTTTTTAAGTCCTGTGACTTGTACATTACAGTCCCTCAGGCCCTTGCAATTTTCTGTCTTATCATTTTAGAAATGTAGGCAGAATAATAATAGAAACCCTTCTTCCTCTTTTTTTTTTTTTTTTTTTTTTTTTTTTTTTTTTTTGCCTGTTTTTAGTGAACTTGTATGGTGTGGTTCTTACATTCTGTATGAGCTGCTTCATTTAATCACTTTAAAATTCATGGTGCCTGTAGATGATATAAGATAAGGAAACTAAGATACAGAAAGATTAACTTGATCCTTCAAGTCACGGCTGGTAGAATCTTCTCTCAAGTTAAATATTAACGCTTGCAACTTCTGCAGCTGGACTTCCCA